GACAGGCAGACAGGCAGACAGATAGACGGATGGACAGACAGACAGATAGACAGATAGACAGATAGACAGATAGACAGATAGATATATGGGCCAGCAGCTGATATCTTTCATGGGAGCGCAGGAGTGCTTAGGGGATTACAAACTCGCCCACATGAACGCAAATGTATTTCACGGCGCTGTTGTGCTTTCTTGGGAGTTCTTCGAGGTTTCTCTGGGCCCAAATCGTCGGAAAAGCATCTCGGACACATGAAAGTGTTTTCGTACATTGGACGGTTTCGGGGACAAACTACACTGCAAGTATACAGAACGAAGTGCTGCTTTCGAGCAGCTCTGTTGAGCCATTGAACCATACAGCAATCTCTTTTGGGATTTAGGGACGCAGCTACCATGAAGTAAAGTGAATTCCGAGCTCCGAAAACAGACGTGGCGATGCTCTTTCCGGGATCCCCTTTATGATCGGTCGCCACTATTAACACTTGACAAATGGGTGGTTGTCAAAATTATGGTCCCTTCTTGGGTCCTTATTATAATACGGCACCTATTATTTAGGGTACCCCAAAAGGGACCATAATTTTGACAACTACCCAGATGACTCTAAGGGAGCCTTCGTCTTCGAGGAGCCTCCAACTACCGACTGCACATTCGTCTCGACGTCAAACCCTCCACCGGGCACATTTTTGCATGAATCGAAGAATACTTCTACTAAGGAACCCTGAGGAATCCTAAGGAATCATGTTCGCCATTTTGCTAATTCTGAAGAAACCCTAAACAAGCCCTTTACATCCTCCGCGACCGGATAAAGGAGGATCACTCTCCCCTGCTCTCTAGGAGTCGCCTTGGCTCTGTCACCAGCTTTGGCGCGAATTAGGGCTTCCGGTTTAGGGCACCCTCCCTGTTTTGAAAGGATCGAAATGTCACAACAAATCTGACCTTATCGGAAGACCCCTCCTTCGCAGTATCTTTGAGGGTCACGAGCGCGTCAAGCTTCTCTTTTGCCTCAAGGACAGAGTCTATTAGGGTTTAGGGTTCAGGGTCTAGGATTCTAGGGAGCAAGTCCCTAGAACGTCGGGAAAACCCAATCACTAATCCCCAAACCCTGAACCCTGTAGATACCAAGTACCCCTGAAGAACCCTTGACTTTAAGTTCTAGACTGCATGTTGTTGGGCTGTGTGTGCTTTCCAGGTTTTGCTTTTCCTGCTAGGCCCTGGCCTAAAGCCCTGAACCCCTAAACCCCTAAACCCCTAAACCCTAAACAGTAAACAGCAAACCCTGGGCCAGCGATGGGAGTAAGTGTAGGCTTTAGGGTTTAGGGTTTAGGCTTTAGGGTTTAGGATTTAGGGTTTAGGGTTTAGGGTTTAGGGTTTGACCGCCCGCCTGACAGGGCATCTTTTCAAGGGAGGCGGCCGCCAGACAATTCAGAGTATCATCTAGAAGCTTAGGCAGCCCAGTCGAACCAATCACGACCGAAACGCTCCAAACTCCGAAACAAGGAACCTAGGTCCAAAACATCCCGAACCCCAAGCCCTAAACCCTAAACCCCAAATCTAAACCCTAGGCCCTAAGCCCTAAACCCTGAAACCCTAAACCCAAAAACGGGCAAACCATCAAGGTGCCTCTGCATAGATTGCCGGCATCTGCATCTTGAAGGGGTCAGCAGGATCTTCGAAGTAGGACAAGATCATCCTAGGGTTTAGGGGTTTCGGGGTTTGGGGTTTAGGGGTTTAGGGTTTAAGGTTTAGGGTTTCGGGGCTTAGGGTTTAGGGTTTAGGGATTTACGTGTTTAGGCTTTTGGGGTTGAGGGTTTAGGGCTTAGGGTCCAGGCGAGGTTGTCAGACCTGATCTGGCAGATGTTCACCAGTTGGGTTTACGGCTGATGGTGCACGGCATGGAAATTAGAGCCTTTTGCTTCGGACTCAATGTTTAGGTCCTAATTCCCTTGTGGAACATGACGATCATCCTAAACCCCAAACCCGATAACCACCACTAACAAAATTAACAACGTTCTTCTTCACTGCAAGAGCAACATCATCATCGTCGTCTTTGCCATCATCGCCAAAAAAAATAACCGTCATCTCCGACATTCCATGGGATCCCAGGGTGTGTATTTGTGGATTCCTACTTGGAGCACTCCTGAGGGTGTTAATATAGGGGCCTAAATAATTACCATTACTATTTTGGGAGCTCCTTAATATGCTTATAGTACAATATATCCCAAAACCCTATTCTAATCATAAAGCTCCCTAAACCCTAAACCCCCTATGGTACCCTTTATAGTAACCCAGTTAAAGGAACCCTTAAAGGAACCCTATTCTAATGATTGAGGCCCCCATATCCCTGTGTTAGTCCCTGTTGCTGTCGTTAGTGCTGTGACAACCATCCCGACCTCTGGAAGCCTCTGATGACTACAGTGAGGATACCCGAAGGTTCAGGGTTTAGGATTTAGGGTTTAGGGTACAGTGAGGATACCCTAAAGTTGAGGGTATTTAGGGTTTAGGACAGTGAGGATATGTGAGGACGGAGATCGCGAATAACCTGAATAGAATATGCAGCTATACAATATACGATACTGACTATACTCTCCTAACATCTTGATCTAAAACTAAAAACCCCTACACCCCAAACCCTAAACAATATTAAGAAGAAGAACAAAAAGATAAAAGCAGTGGCAATAGTCAGAGGCAGCTGCCAGTCCGAATCGATAGTCTCCCCCCCAAATCTGAGCCTGACCCCACAATCACCAAGCATCCCAAATCTTAACGGCCGTAGTTTAGGATTTTTTGGGGATGTTGGGTTCAGGGTTCAGGGTTTAACCCTAAACCCTTAACCCTAAACCCTAAGCCCTAAACCCAAAAGCATCCGAGCAGCTGCATCGTCTCGTGCTTGGCTACGAAATCGCCATGCAAGGCATTGACCTTCCGATTTGAGAGTGCTCAGTGCTCAGCGTGGGCAAAACAGGGTCTAGGATTCAGGGTTCAGGGCCTAGGGTTTAGGGTTTAGGGTTTAGGGTTTAGGGTTTAGGGTTTAGGGTTCAGGGTTTAGGGTTCAGGGCCTAGGGTTTGGGGTTTAGGGTCAGTTCAGGGTCAGGCGTTTTGGATTCAGCCTTGTCGGGGCTTCGATTTGCGATCGGGCTTGGGTATCAATTTAGGGTGCAGGGTTCCGGGTGGTCTCGAATCGCGCGTGTGTCCCTGTTCGTGTACGCAAAATTCGCAACACTACAACATGTACGCCAACTTCAAACCAGTTCTCTGAGGCCATCGAACTCGCATGGAAGCCTCGAAATCACATGTGTATAGACCGCAGTTCATGAAAGCTCGACACAGACCGCCTGCTCGACTGGACCCTCGGCTTACCCTTAAATCCTAAGTACACCCTAAACCCTAAACCCCCTAAGCCTGGGACAAACACTCCTGAGCCTGAACTCGTCCGAGTGGCGCATAGATCAAAATCCTCGAAGACGATTCTTGCTGACTTATCGAGCTTCTCGACTCCATCTGAATCCTTCGCACAGCTTCAACATGCCAGGGAGTGCAGTGTGGAGGGTTTGCGGGTCATGTATATTTCGTGTCTCTGTGGATGCGTCTGTTGCTGATAAAAATACAAATAGATGGGTACAAACTCAGATAGAGATAGAGATTGGGATTGGGATAGGGATAAGGATAGATACCGAGACCGAGACAGAAATGAAGATGGAGATAGAGGTAGAGATAGAGAGATGGATATGCATACACATAGAGTGCCTACACGATTACATGTGTGTAAATGTTTACGAATGCTACTTACATATATATATATATATACACATACATCTATTCGGAAGTTTCTTTGTATCTATATTTATATTTACAGTATATTTTATATTATACCTCCATGGATATACATCTGCATGTATACATGTATATATACACATACAATTAGCTTGCCGCTGCGGCTGTTACTGTCGCAGATTTCTCACGAGGAGTTTCGGGTTTGGCACAAAGGTGAAGAATGTAGAACTGAAAAATCGCCCCCGGGGCCTTGAGGTAGGTATGCCATATTAGCCATGCAAAGACTTCCGGGCCAATAAGGCCGAAACCGCCATTACAGTCATTGACGCTCGTGCTTTCTCGCACGACTTGCATACGGTAGATGGACAAAATTCTGCATGACCCAAATATAGTATAGTACCATAAATCCCATAGTTTAGGTATATAAAGTCATGCAGGATTTTGTCCATCAACAGTATGTCCAAGGCTTAAGGGTCGAGCTTCGGAAGAACGGCGCGAACCTGAAGGCCTGAAGGCCTTGGGGTTGAGGTGTCCGCTAAGGTTGAGGGTTTAGGACTTCGGGTTTAGGATTTCGGGTGTTTAGGGTTTAGGACTTCGGGTTTAGGATTTCGGGTGTTTAGGGTTTAGGACTTCGGGTTTAGGATTTCGGGTGTTTAGGGTTTAGGATTTCGGGTTTAGGATTTCGGGTTTAGGATTTCGGAAGTTTAGGGTTTAGGATTTCGGGTTGAGGATTTCGGGCTTAGGATTTGGGGTGTTTAGGGCTCAGGGTCTTGCTAGGCCCCCGAGTCTTAGAATCCTTAAACCAGAACTCCCGACCCGATCCCACACATATCTCTAAATCCTATAGTTTGGGGTCTAGGGTTTAGAGCTTTTAGGCTTAGGGGTTTAGGGCTTAAGGGGTTAAGGGTTTAGGGTCAACCTCAAAGTCCCCAACTAACCCGGATTCTTCAGACCACCCTCCATGCCATAGACTTATATACTTCCCCAATAAGCTCGGGAAACAAAAGGCTAAACTTTCAGATTTCTACTGACTAAATGTATTGTGGAACTAAGTAGAGAATCCGGCACTTGCCTAAACCCTGGACCCTACACCCTGAGCCCTAAACTCTACACCCTAAGGTCCAAATCCTTAAGCCCTAAACCCCCAGATCCCAAGCCCAAAAACCCTAAACCCTGAACCCTAAACTCTAAACCCTAAACCCTAAACCCAAAACCCAAAACCCAAAACCCTAACCCTAAACCCAAAGGTCCTTGGCAATCCGGCGGTTGATGTTAATCATGCAGGGGGTGATCTCCTCCATGAACTGGCTGGCTTGCTCGGCCATCTGGTTCAGGAAGAGGTCGAAGATGAAATGCCTGACAGACCCCCTTGGAGCCTTTCCGGGTTTCAGGAGTTGTTGTGTTTAAAGAAACCCTAAACCCTAAACCCTAAACCCCTAAACCCTAAACCTCTAAACCCTAAACCGTGGCTTGTTGCTTTTAAAGGGTTTCGGGTTAAGGGCTTGGGGCTCAGGGTTTCGGGTTTAGGGCTTTGGGTTTAGGACTTAGGATTTGGGATTCAGGGTACGGGCCTGAAGGCCCGCATGGGGAGCTGGGGGGTATCCAAACAGGCAAACTCTAAACACCCCAAGGCTTACGGTTTAGTTTAGGGTTTAGGGTTCAGGAGACTCGTGCCTGACATCCTTCCCGGCTGCATCTTTGATGCCTTCTAGCTTACCAAAGGTCTCCAAGTCAAAGGCATCCGCTTGCCCTCGATTGGTGCCCCCGTTCAGGTAGTTGCCGACAGCCAAGATGATGCCCAGCAGATTCCTTAGCTTCTCCCGCAGCTGCCTGAGCCCCCAAATGGTAACGGGCACCGTTCTTCCTGGAGCGCTTCCACTGCCCCCTTTTCCAAAGTAAAGGTCAAAGCATACCACGGGGAACTTTACACCCTAAACCCTAAACCGTGGGAACCTAGCTTCGGTAACATCTCGCTTTCCTGGAAGCACTCCACCACGGACAAGAAGTCCTTGAGCGCCTGGTCGTAGGAGGAATGCTGCTCCTCGGCTGTTTGAGAGATGTACTACCCTATCTTACAGGGCTTTGGGTTTAGGGTTGACGTTTCAAGGTTCACGGGTCTGGGCTTGACACCCTAAACCCTAAACCCTAAACCCTAAACCCCAAAATCCAAAAGCCCTGAAGGTTACGGCTCTAGAGCTTAAGGCCCTTAGGGCTCAGGGCTCATGGGCCAAATACTGTAAACCCCAAACTCTGCAAACGCCAAGGGCTCCTCGGACCCGTTCTGCTAAAGCCCTGGATGGTGGTTTGGGATTTAGGGTTTAAGTTTTAGGGTTTAGGGTTTAGGGTTTAGGGTTTTAGATACATTGGCCTGAAAGGGGTTCATACATTGGGGGGTGTGAAGCCGACGTTTATACGAAATACGGGCACCTGAAGGCTAAAACCATGCACCCAATATGGGTGATTGAAAGCGAAAGTATATACGCAATATGGGCACTTTAAGGCCCAATGTATACCCGCAATATGGACCCTTCAACTTTTCTGCCAAGGTTCAGGGTAGGACTGGGCGAAGCTCCAAACATCGATTCGCTGCTGGTAGGCCGGCATGTGCCCAATCACCCACATGAAGCCTTCAGCTTTAGGGTTTAGAGCTTAGGGTTAGGGTTTCGGGTTTAGGGTTTAGGGTTTTAGGGTTTACGGTTTAGGGTCTGGGGCTTAGGGTTTAGAGTTTAGAGTTTAGGGTTTAGGGTTTAGGGTTTAGGGTTTAGGGTTTAGGGTTCAGCAGCTCCGGATCGAGCAGGTTATAATAAAGTTACATTCAAGATTTAAACATATCACCCACCCACCCAAGAATCCCATAACATTGGAAAATATACACACAGTTATTTCATTCACATAAATAAGTTCCATTCACAATGAAATTTTACTCTGCTGATGGTTACTCTGTCTTATACCAGACTAATCCATTCTTTAGTGACTACACCAATGGTGACGAACCCCTAATTTTATCGTCTAGTCTCTGCAGCAAGCCGCATACTATATGGCAGCTATCGAATACAAAATATACCAGAGACCGCTGACGCCTTCGCTTCACGGACATCACATATACAAAGTTGTGGTACCTCTAGCTCACTCGGAACCACAACAACTGCAGTGTAACAAGACAGGCGGCAACAGACGGAGCCAATCTGTTACGGCAATGTTTGGGGTACTGCAGGAGCCTATCTGTTACGGCAATGTTTGGGGCACTTCAGGAGACGATGTGTTAGGGGAATGTTTGGGGCACCTCAGGAGCCGATCTGTTACGGCCATGTTCGTGGTACTGCAGGAGCCGATCTGTTACGGCAATGTTTGTGGTACACAATCCCAAGAAAAAAAGTTGAACCCATAACTTCTTAAGGATTGGCCTTAAACCACGAAGGATCGACCTTAAACCACGAACGACCTGGCCTTAAACCACGAATATCCCTGGAACAGAGCCAAAACCGATGATTTGCCAAGGGCTGGCCTTAGCCCACGAAAGGTTGGCCTTAAACCACGCAGGGTTGGCCGCAAACCCCGAAGAGTTGGCCGTAAACCCCGAAAAATTGGCCTTAAGGCCTTAAACCCCGAAGGGTTGGCCGTAAACCCCGAAGGGTTGGCCGTAAACCCCGAAGGGTTGGCCGTAAACCCGAAGAGTTGGCCGTAAACGGTTGGCCTTAAACCCCGAAGGGTTGGCCTTAAACCCCGAAGGGTTGGCCTTAAATTCCGAAGGGTTGCCCATAAACCACGAAGTCATTAAGGTTCTATCATATGATAAAGGGGCTTAGCCAATCACCCATATCAAGCCAACAGGCGCTTAGAGGCTTGGATATTAGAACTGAGGCCTTGGGATTTAGGACGTAGGACTTAGGACTTAGGCCTGGAGTTTTAGGCCCTACGCTTTAGGACTTAGGGCTTGGGGTTTTTGCCAGGGTTCAGGACTACAAGGGTGCGACAGGAATCATTCGGCTGCTGGCTTGGGTGGCTTTGGGCCCCGGGAACCTCGGGCATGGACTTGAAACAGCAAACAATCAATTAGGTTTAGGGTTTAGGGTTTAGGGTTTAGGGTTTTGGGTTTTGGGTTTACGGTTTAAGGTTTAGAGTTTGGGGTGTTGGGTTTTGGGTTTTGGGTTTGCGGTTTAGGGTGTAGGGTTTAGGGTTTAGGAGAGCTTCTGATGAGGGTGTTTGAAGTGTTTGCGGTTGTGGTTCAAGGAATGGGTGGTATTCAGACGGTCGACATTAGGGGTTTCCCAGATATTTGGGTGGTTGTCAAAATTATGGTCCCTTTTTGGGTCCTTATTATAATACGGCACCTATTATTTAGGGTACCCCAAAAGGGACCATAATTTTGACAACTACCCATTTGGGTCCATATACGGGATCCTGACTTCTACCTGCCTGCATCCCACCTGGGATCGGATGATTTGGCGCAACTCGTCCGGTTCGTCTTTCTTCTCGTGGACAGGCCAAAAATTCCAAACTAAGGTTCCGAAACAAGTCAACCTAAACTAAAAAAATCCTGAACCCTAGACGCTAAACCCTGAACTTTAAACCCTAAACCCTGAACCCTAAACTCTGAACCCTAACCCTAAACTC